GGGCCGCCGGCACCGCTGGCTGGGGCAGCCGCCACCATGCCACAGCAGCCTGCAGGCCGGAGCTCCGCGCTCCGCCTCATGCTAGGGGCGTGACGGACATGGCCTAGGAGGCAGGAGGGACCTACAGCCACTTCATCCCTCTCCTTGCAAACAGCAGGGCTTGCCGCACGTAGAAGGGCCAAGACTGTGGCAAGAATAAAGCAAAGAGAGAGTACAAAAGAAAAAGCTGCGGCCACAGGGCGGGAGCTTTCCACATCTCGCCGGTGGAGATGTAACCAAAGACAAGGTGCCAGGCTCTGGGAAGGCACACCTGGAGTAACTGGTCCAGTGTTTCTGATGGGAGCCTGAGGTGCAAAACTCATTGTTTAACATGAACGCGGCCTTTGGAGATCGTAGAAAAACATGTCACAGAGAGCAATTTCACCATGTAGCGTTTCATGTATTTGAAGCAGCAGGTAAACAAGTAACAACGGCAGCCATCTCAACATCTCAATACTGTCACGCCCACACCTCGCAGTTCGATCCACTCATCTCAGCGCCTTGACAGTGTATTCATGTGCTGATTCTCATACAGGCACAACCCCTTATGATCACCTCCGTGACTGAATTTTGCCAACTACTTTAACATTTGCTGGAACCGAGCTTAAAACACGGCTAGCATTTAATTGTATGATATCAGTGTCTAAAATATTTGATCTACGCTCATAAAGGGAACAATCGGAGAATATCCAAAACCAGAATCAGAACATCCAGAGTAAAAATCTGAATCTCAAACTGACACTGACTTGGAAACCCTCCAAGGACTGTTTTGTAGTTCTAACCAGGGTTGTGTTTCTGGGGTCTGAACCTTTCGGCTGTGACTGGTTACATTCGCAAGCATCACTCCATCAGAGCGGGAGCTGGAAAATTACCTTTAAAAACAACAGAAAAGCTGAGACTCTTGTTAATAGCTTGTGTCTGGTAGCAAGAGCTTTAAGCTGAGCACAAAGTATCAGCAGACTCGTGACGAAGTTGCAGGAGCTGGCAGCACTCAAGAAGGCCTGAAAAAAGTGGATTCAGGGTAGCTAACTTTTCTTTAAACACATTTCGCTGACTCACCATTTCTGAGGTTTCCTCAGAAAACTGCAGGCTTGCAGCTGATGGAGGTAAAAATAATACCGCTATTGAGTTCTTACACAGCCCTTTTCATCTCTGAATCTCAAAGGGCTGATTTGGTTTGTTTCTCTTAAGATGGGATAGCTGAAGAAGAAAGGAAGCCGGGACACCTTTGGGGACACACCTCCCTCACTCTGCACCGCGGAGAAGCGAGCCCCAGACCTGCTCAGGCCGGACGGCCTCCGTTCGCGGACCTACGCTGAGGCAGACCACAGCACTTGTAAAGACTGGCTTTCGTCTGGGGGAGAACTCAGGGGAGGAAGTATTCCTCTCTCTCCTCACCTCTTTTTTCTACACTGGAAACTGCCAACAGAGCAGATTGTTAGAGGCACGTGGAAAGTTTCAAATCTGAGCAGTCTCAGGGACTGCTTATGTGACCTTGGATGACTCTCAAAGGGAAAAGGACACAGGTGCACACACCTCTCTGCAACAGCGGGGTTAACGCAAGAGCATTTCTGGGCTCTGACTGCGCTCCCTCTAACCTGCTTCCCAAACTGGGGAGCCATTTGCCTCTCAGGATTAGCAACACTAAACACTAAAAAAACCACAACCCCCCCCACAAATCCCATGATGAAGCCCCAAAATCACTTCAAGACAGGTTCTTGTCAGCATCCGCTGCCACTAGCTTTTCCGATGGCACATTCGGAGATCTGTGGTGCCACTCCAGGATTAAATAGGGAAAGCCACGGCTGGAAAATGAAGGGGTAGTTTAGGAGCCTATCAAAGTGTCAGCCTCCTGCAGCCAAAGTTCAAGGTAGAAAATAAGAGAGTATGAAGTAAGAGAGTAACAGCAGGATCATTTCTGCATGAAATGATGTAGGATCAGCTCTTCCATTTACACATCAGCTCAGCTTCCAAGTCTTTGTTTCCGAAGTGAACAATATACAGTTAGAAAAAAAATAAATCTGTGTGGAACAAAGACAGATTTGAGAATAAACTGTGGGACATCTTCCCAAAGCAGGAGCCCTGAAGAGGCAGGCAAGCCAACCACGGAGCCACGGCAGATCTGCCAAATCTTTACGTTGCCGCCCCAAGTGCTCTTGTGGGCAGGTCAGCCTGCAAAACGCCAGAGTCGTGTGTGACAGAAACAAAAGTGGGTGGAAAGTGAATGGCACCGAGAGGCCCGATGCTATTCAACTGCTGACCAAAAACCCCCCTAAAGTCACATTTTAAATGTGGTTGAGCAATCCACAGGCAACGCTGGGGAGGGGCTAAGGGAAGAGTGTTTTAGGGCAGAATGAGATCATTTAATTTAGTGGTTCCGAATGATCTGTAAGTACAGTTTTCTGATTATAAGTGCTGGCTGCTTGGCATCCCTTCTGGCAGCTGTGATTCACTTTCATTGTGTGTTCTGCTGCTTCACCCTTTAGAAAGGGGCTTTTTACATTTTATTAAATGGCACTTCGGCAGCCCTCCATTTCCAGCCTTAATAATGGATTTGTTAATCTCCCTGATAGCCTTTCCCTCCTCCTTAGCAACAATTTAAATATCCAAGAAGAAATCTGCAGTGCAGAAATCAATTAATATTTACATCTGAAATGCTGCTGTACTATTTTAATCAGGTAGAGCAAATGTGGTCTGGTTTTTACCAACATCACCATCACTTGCATTAAACTAGCATCTTCCATCAGGGAAATCTTCTAAGAGCTTTCCAGAAAGTTATGCTTTAAGCTTCTCAAACCTGCAATGACTTTAGCTCTTTGCTTTCCACTTTGCAGGAAGGGAAACTGAGGTGTAAGCAGCATAATCGCTCGCATGAAGACACACCCTAAGCTAGAGGTGGAACAGGAACACAGCTCATGAATCCAGATGCCCAACCCTCTGCTTTGAACACGAGGCTTAGAAATAGCACAGTGCTTTGCAACGTGGAAGTTATTTTCAATAAGAGAAATCCCTCTGGCTAAACTGCCTAGTCTTCCATCCCTTCTTTGTTTTTTCTAAACTCCTCCTAGACCCAACTCTTTGCAGCCTCCTGGGAGGAACACAAAGATGGCAACAGCTGCAAGAGCTTCTTTTGCCCACCTTCACACAAACCCTGCAAATTCTTAACATTGCTCTCAAAGCCTTGAATCCTAGCACTCCTGCAACCGAGGCATGAACAGAGATCTCCGGAAGGAACCATTCTCTGCAGCTCCCAAAGCAGTGAACAGATTCACTGAGTCCCCAAATTTCTGGGGACAGCGAATCCATAAAAGTCCTGTTTTTCTAGCCAGCGGAAAATCATCTCTGGTGTACCTGAATATCCCACCTGTCAGCCCACGCTGTAACAACCAGGTCTCTATCCTTGTACTCATGACTGTAACAGCTCAGCATCGGAGGACCTGCAGCGGCGGGCTGGAGAACATTTCAAAAGTCCCACCTACTCAACACCCTTCCAATGCCTG